GATGAGTATTAGTGAAAAATGCTTAGACAAGGGTAAATACAAGTGTTCTGCAGCCTAATTAATTTTCTCTATCTTTTCTTTTGGAGGCTGGGTCTTATCTAGCTTAGGCTGGCCCCAAATGAACTTAAGAGTATTGCCTCAACCTTGCACCAAGTAGCTAGGATTAAAGGCATGTTCCTGAACACCTAACCCCATTTTATTTAGCTATAGAAGTCAAGTGGAAATAAATATTATTGAGGAATTATGATAAGTGAAAATAATAATACAGCTTCCCTGCCCCAGCTTTTCTAGCATTTGGAAAGATGAGATAGGAGGATCTCGGAGGCTGAGACCTTAAAAAACGTGTTTTACTCCTACCACTCTTAACTGTATATCTTCAGAGCTGCCTGTGCTGTGTTGACTAAATAAAACTATATATAGTGTGGACCTCAGAAGTACTCATATCCTACATGTGCACAGAAGCCCAAACTATGACACTGGTATCTGAGCAGAGGCCAGAACCAGCTTCTCAGCCAAAGGCTAATTTCTGCAGATTCGTATTATGCATAAACCAACTAAACTCAAAAGCATTAGCCTACAGAAAAACTGCATATGCCCTATATTAAATTTGGTTTAAATAAATTATGTTCCAAAGACTCAGACTCTTTTAGTATACATAGTTGAGAAATACTGAACCACTTAGGAAAGGACCAATCAAAGCATTTTCTCCAAGATCTGCCTATGCATGCTTCACCTGCCCGCACAGACACTAGCACATCAACGGATAGAACACCGTTCTATCTTGCTGAGGCAGCTACTCAGACGGGAGCACCCTCTTTCCACTACTATCAGCGTTCCCCTTCCAGAAAGTCTGGCAGTGGTGGGCTTAGTATGTAAATCAAATTGTCTACCATAACTACGTGTGCATGCAGGACAGTCACAGGTTGCTGTCTAACTGCAAATCTGATCGTGGCAGTGGGCTCCTACAGCTGAATTTTTCACTCCCTTGCCTCTCCTGATCAGACAGATTCCTTCCTGACAGTTGGTTCCTTTGCTAGCTCTCTTATCAGTCCCATTTTGTTTTGTATTTATCTGGTAATTTCTCCTATCACCTGCACCCATAATCGTGTAAAAGTTCCTAAACTGAGCTACTGCCTTATGCCTGCCCAAGTCTTATCTTTAACCACATTTATCCTACAGGGCCAGACCCATACCCATGCTCCTGCATGGATGGCTGAGAGATGTTATTCCCACTGTTCACATTGGTCTTGCCTTTAAGAAATACACCATTCCCTTTCTCTTCTTGGCACATTCTTACTTACTTTTAGCCATCTTCTTTGGGAATCCGATCCAGACCACTGCCCCAACCCTGTTCCCTACCAGGAAGTTCAGCAATTTTCCAAAGTTCCCATCAACTCATTAAAATGACACACCTCTCCTCCCTAAGATTACGACCTCAAGCAGGTATGCTGGCACACCTGCAATCCCAGCTCTTAAGAGGTAGAGACAGCAACACCAGAGGTTCAAGCTATACAGTAAGTTCAAGGCCAGACTGAGCTACATGAAACTGTTTCAAAATTCAAAACAAAACCAAGAAAGGAGGAGGAGAAAGAAAAGCGAAGAAGGGGCTGTCACTTTCTTATAAGCCTATTTCTGTGTCTTCCAGTTCAATAAATATTTCAGTGGCACAGGCTATTAAGGAGGAACTGCAATGAGCAAGTGAGCTTCATAGAGATGGGCCATCGTTTTGCATGGCTATGATGGGTGTAACTTGGACATAAGTGTCATGCCTTTCTAATCAGTCCTAAAAGTTAACCGTGGGGTCTGAAAATTTACCCTCTTCCTTTAAGAGAAACTTCCAAGTTGGGTGTGGTAGTGCATCCCCATAATCTCAGCATTCAGAAAGCTGGAGTACTGCAAGCTTGAGAACCTGTCTCAACTACCCCACACCAAATCAGAAAGTTCTGTCAGGCTACTGTACCTCTTTATATAGAGTCAAACCATAATCCCACACAATCAAGCATAATTTAAGTGTTTCTAGTAAGTTTCACTGAGTACATTGGTTTAGGAATGTATAAAACTCTTACAAAAGAAAGATAATAACTACCACTTAAAGTAATGATGATGATTATTTCTTGGCAACTCTTATAAGATGCTCCTGCTCCTAATCAAGCATGGAATGATGTAACACTCCATTCTCTCTTTTTTGAAGATTCATTTATCTTACTGTGTGCGTGAGTGTTGTTCCTGCATGTGTACATGTGTACCACATACACAGCTGGTGCCCACAGGTCAGAAGGGGCCTGGGCCCCTCACACTGAAGTTATGGATGGTTGTGAACCGCTCACATGCACTGAGAACCAAACTCAAGTCCTCCAGAGCAACAAATGCTCTTAACCACTGAGCTAAACTCTGGATGCTTAATATTCTGTTTCTAAAAATCAAGCTGCAGGATGATGGAAAGATGGCTCAGCAATTAAGTGTGTACTGCTTGGAGAGAATGCCAAAGTTTAAACCCCAGCATGTACAACAGGCAGCTAGAATGGCCTATAACTCCACCTCCAGAGAGTCTGATAACCTTTCTGGACGCCAAAGGTTTCTTCACTTGTGTGTACATGCCTCTACATAGATATCTATGCACACTTATTTAAAAATAAAGTAAATCTAAAAATAACTTTAAAATCAAGTTGTAAAAATCTTTCTATTTTATTGAGAGGTAGACAGGCCTCTAAATTTGCTTCACAGTCGAAGACAGCCTCGAGTTCCTTATTCTCCTGCTCTCCCAAATGTTGTTTGCTATTATAGGCAAGTGTCACCAGAGCCAGCTTCAAAATCTTTGAATAGCTGTGGTTAAAACACTATTTCATTAGCAAAAGTCAGCAGTCATACAGAAATGTTAGGAGGGAAGGAGGAAGAGAAGAAGAGAGGAATGGAAAGAGAGGCAGAGTGTGTGTGTGTGTGTGTGTGTATGTGTGTGTGTGTGTGTGTGTTCATGCATGCAAATGTGGGTAGATAAGTGTCCGTCCATACAGATATGAACATATGTGGATGCATGAATGCACACTTGTGTACTTGTGAGTATAGAGGCCAGAGGTCAATGTTGGCTGTCTTCCCCTATTTGTACATACACATAATTAAAAATGAATTGAATGAATAAAAAAGCATTAATAACAGTTGAATACAATTAACACAATCATAATGCTACCTAAAAGTTAATCAGAATTTAGCTGATAAGATTTGAGAGATTTATACAGCACAAAAGACCATATAAACTGCTACCCTTATAAGTGTTTATTACTTAATTTCCTTTCTTATTTTTTCATGGTCCCATAAAGTACCAAGGTTCCATTCACCACTGCCCAGTATCAGCTCTTTTGTCTAACAGTGCTCCCTTTCCCAGTACCAGCCTGTTTGTTTGATGGTTTATTTGTTTTGCAATGCTGAAAATCTTACAAGCCCAGGGCCTTGTGCCAGAGTGGCAGGTACCCTAACAATGACTTTCACCCTCATCCCTTTTTTCCAGTATAACAAACATCTTATAACAATGATTTTACGTTTCTGTGGAGATTTCTAAACTGTGCAAACCTTAATTCATTTTAATTACTATGACATGAAAGAAATTGTGCCTTGGGCACACCAAGAGTCGCCTAAGAGAAGTACAGATCAGTAAGTAAGGGAAACTGTCATCAGACTGAAGGGCACACTGGCTACCCGGGTCAACAATCCTCAGGAACTTCCTGAGTTGTGGAATTCAGTCAAAACTGCTTCCAGAGACAGTGTGACTTTCAGTGTCCACGGAGAAGGAAAAGAAAAGGAAAGTAGGAATGTCCAGATGAAAGAACATGAGAGAATCTGAGTGAACTCATTCTTGCCATGGTTGCATAACTAGGCCAGCAGTAGGGTCATGCAGGGTGGAGCACGCCTCTTCCCTCATATCTCAGAATTCAGCCTGCCTTCTAATGACCCTTAACAGCCCTGCTGAAACAATAGGTATGCGCACACAAAGGAACTTCTAGAGACTACCCCCATTGTTCCTCTCCCAGAGAGCTTCCTGATTGGTGCTAGTTCATCAATCCCCATATACTCATCCACGGAACTGAAACTTTCTTGTATGAAGTGAGGCAATGAAAAGTAGTAAACGCTAAAAGTCATAGATTTATCAGTAAGTCTTCTCCAAAACACTTTATTTCAAAATAGTTTGTAAATAATTGGTATTTCCTACCCACTGTATTCTAAAAGAATAACTACCAAGAAAAAAAATACTTCCCTTTCAGGGTTGAAAAAAGTGAAGAAAGAGGTTTATTGTAAAATTTCTCAGCTCAGTGAAAGAGAAAAACTTAGTCTTCTCTAGGGATGAGGTCCTGACTGGCTAACTCCTCAGCTCTGAATATACTGTTCAGGCTGTGTTCATGTACTTATGCATATACACAAAATAATAAGTAAAGAAAAAGAGGCCATGAACCTGAGAAGAAATGAATGAAGCATGGAAGGAGGTAGAGGGAGAAAAGATGTAATTGAAAAAAAAAATAATTCTAGCCCCAAATTTCTCAAAGAATCTTAAGAACTAAATAATTTTGGGGAAATAAGAAAGAGCAGCAAAGTTTGAATTTAAGGATTTCTAGCACATGACAGCAGAAAGAATGTGTTTTTTTTTTTTTTTTTTTTTCTGGAAAGGTAAGAGTTTTTACCTTACTCTGATCATGTTAAAAGTACATATAAATTTCCTATAAAGTACATATAAATAGAAAATGAGAAAAAACACAAATACAGCTGAATTTCAGGTTCAACCACTTGCTTCTTTGTCTCCACCAAATTAAGTTACTCTGTAATTTAAATGTGTGTACATATTTCTTAGCAAGCACTGAGTACCAACACTTTCAACTTTAGTTCTTCATACTTTAAACAACCTTTTTAAAACAGTGAACTAAAATGTAAAGCTTTACATATACATGAAACAAATTTTTGGCAAAAGGTGAGTCTAATATCCTGGCTTAAACTGTTGTGAAATCACATTAAAGTACCTTTTAATAGAGACACCTTAGCAAGGGGTTCATTTAGGTCTTGCTCATCCATTTGGGCGTCTACAAGGGGGGAGAGAGAGAGAGAGATACAGTTTTTAAATATATCAGCAAATTATTATTATCAGAGTAAATAAACTATCTCTTACACTTGGACAGTTGAAAATAGTTTTAACAAAATATTTAAGATTTTATAGAAGGATCTGCTAAGTCAAAGCACTGCTTTTTCATTAAACACAAACTCTGAAGTTTTCATCCACATTTTAACCAATAAACCTCCTAAATTGCCAAAAGACTGTTCAGCTTCGTAATACTAAGTTAACTTACCTGTAGTGTCGTCGCTGCTTTTTTCCTTGCTTGGACTCAGAGTATCTGATAAGTCAGATTCCTTTGCTTTCGCCTGGTTTTCTGTCAGGAAAAACAGAAAAGTCAAAATGTTATTAAAATTCAACACCTTTCTAGCAAGAAGACTGCTTTAAGTTCAAAATCTATGCCTACACAAAACTGTTAAAAATCTACTGAGATCTCTGAATCTCTTTGTTCTTCACCACCTGATCCAAAATGCAATGCTGGTTATTTCTCAGAGCTCACAGCAAACCATAATGCGGATCCTGCCTGCTATGCAGAAGGCTGGGGCTGTTATCCAAGCTGTCCACTTATCAACTGGGAACAAAAATGCAGTGAGCTTTGTTACAGTAATCAGGGAAGCACAACAAATACAACAAAATTCCCAGAGCAATTGGGACACTGTCTGAAGATAATCAAAAGGAAAGGTCACATTACTGCTGGAAACCTACCTTAGTGCACATTAGAAAAATCAATCTAAAACTCACAATTACGAAAGTACCTGTTAAGATGAGCAGCCCATTTCTAAAGAAAATTCAGCAAACCATAATTACAACAAGAAAGGAGACCTCTTTTAAAGATTCTGGTAGTGCCAAGTATTCTAATTAAAAAATGGGGTACAAAACTAAACAGAGAATTCTCAACAGAGGAATACTGAATGACAGAGAAACACTTAAAGAAATGCTCAACCTCCTTGGTCATCTGAAAAATGCAAATCAAAACGATCCTGAGATTCCACCTTACACCAGTCAGAATGGCTAAGATCACAAACTCAAGTGACAATACATGCTGGAGAGGATGTGGAGAAAGGGGAACCCTCTTCCATTGCTGGTGGGAATGTAAACTTGTACAACCACTTTGGAAATCAATCTGGCACTTTTTCAGACAATTACGAATAGTGCTACTTCAAGATCCAGCAATACCACTTGTAGGCATATATCTAAAAGATGCTCAAGTACACAACAAGGACATTTGCTCAACTATGTTCATGGCAGCTTTATTTGTAACTGCCAGAATCTGGAAACAATCTAGATATCCCTCAACCAAAGAATGGATACAGAAATTGTGGTATACTTACACATATACTACTCAGCTATTACAAACAAGAAAATCATGAAATTTGAAGGCAAATGTATGGAACTAGAAAAGATTATCCTAAGTGAGGTAACCAAGAAGCAGAAAGACACATGTGGTATATACTCACTTATAAGTGGATATTTAGACATATAGGATAATCATACTAAAATCTGTATACCTAAGGAAGCTAATCAAGGAGGACCCTGGGTAAGATGCTCAATCTTCATTCAGAAAGGCAAATGAGATGGACATCGGAAGAGGGAGAAAACAGGGAACTGCCTAACATGGGTACTGGGAACTGAATTCTGTTCCTTTAGAAGAGCACAAGTACTCCTAACAGCTAAGTCATCTCTCCAGCCCCCTCTTTAAGTATTTTAAAATTTCACTTCTGATTGACTTTCTTCTGTAGTATTTAATCGTTAAGAGACATATACAAGAAAATGGAAAAGCTACCAACATAATAACAAAACTATTCCTAAACTGAGAAACATATAAGGTGACTGTTTTACTTTATCTTGAGTAGGCACAATTACTATAAAACAAACACACCAACCATAGGCCATTTCTGTATATACCAATGGACCAATAACTTGGGGAAAAAAAAAAGGAAGAATTCACTTTTTTGTTTTGTTTTGTTTTTGTTTTAAACAAGGTCTCATTCTGTATCTTTAATTGTCCTAGAGCTCGCTATTTATGCCAGAAAGGCCTCATATTCATGGCAACCCTCTTGCCTCAGCCTCCTGTATGCTGGATCAAAGTACCAAATCTAGTTAACCATGAGAATTTTATAAGCAGTGTATGTTACGATTGTACAGGGGCATTATACATCGGGTTTATAAATCACGCCTCGTGACTGGTTCCATGTGGGAGGTTTTATAAGGGAAGGAGGAGGGTGTCATAGAGACCACCTCTGGGCAGGGTAGGAGAGAGAGGAGAGAGAGAGAAAGACATGGTGGGGGAGAGGGCGCCCCAACAGATAGTGGGGAAGAGCAAGAGAGCTAGATAGCAACCATTATGACCACCCAGTTTGGCAGTGTGAAAAGTACTAATAAATGTTGATTTATAAAATATAAAACTTATATTTATATTATTGTTAGAAAATGAATTAAACTCATTTGCATGGAATTATTTACCATAATACATTTAATAAATATCTGACTGAAACAAAGAACCTTCAACATTTGTCCACTTTGTTCCTTAAGATAAAAGCCCAGCCAAGTGCGGCTGTTCCCATTTGTAATCTCAGCACTCAGGAGGCTGAGAAGGAGCTCAAGGCTAAATGAAACTACACAGTGAGACCCTGTCCTAGAAAACAAAAGTCAAACTAAGAAAAGACCCAGAAGTAGAAATGCTGAGTCAAAACAGGTTCTCCAAAACTTTCCTTGTATATTTTTTTACAATCAGTAATATTGCACACACCTTTTTCAAAAATTTTACCTGATTTCAAGCATATATATTCTATTCCAGAATACACTAAAGTACTAAGGCAGCAAGGCACTTTTCTGAAGGCAATACCAAACACCTTCTCCCTCTGCTTTGCTTCTAGTGTGAAGTGTTGGTTACTCAATCAACAGATTAGAATAGGAACTTAGGTGGTGAAGTAAAGGCTATTTTAAAATCTGTTCTCATCTCACTTTAATAAGATGAAATAAATTGCCTATGTACCAAAAATAGTTCACTATTCTGAAACCTTATGCCTGTTTGCCAGAACAATATTAGCATTGCATAGTCTATGCATTCTTTCTCCTAATATGGCATCTACTGTGCACAAAACTAGAATGAAAGTTACCAGACATTTGAAATAACACAATTTTTTAAAGAACACTTTAAAAAGCAAGCTAACCCAATAATTCTAAAAATACAGAATGTACTAAAATAAAGTGTTACAAACACTTAGTGTTTGTTGTTTTAACTGGATAAGATTCTGGAATTTTATGTTGGCAAAGTCTGATTAAAGTTCCACTCTAAAAAAAATACATCCCACCAGATTTATTTATTTTATTTTCCTATGCTTAAAAGCAGCAGTATGATGCTTTAAACCCTAATTTTCTTCCCTGAGTTTAAACACTATGATAATAATAATTTTTAAGCATAAAAAAACCTGCTACTTTGGCAAATTACTGGACTGTTAACTATAAAATACAACATAGTTTACACTGACAAAAGTTATCACTAATGTTTTAATCGAACTGAGATAACAAAATAGAGAAATGCTGAATATCAAAAAGAATGTTAAAGATACAATAATCCTCAAAATAAAATTAAATATTTTTCACTCATAAAAGGTTTGCATTATGTTGACTAAAATTTTGAATGAAAACTAAAAACAATGCAGAAGACAGAAAGATCAAAAGCAGACCTACCACAAATATTAACTTTAAAACCATACACAAATGCCTACATTAAAAGAAACTGTCCTATGTTTTCTTAAAATAGACATCTAAATATTTCATATAATATCTACACTTGCTAGATTGACATTTTGTAAGCAGTAATAAATAAAACTGTGGTTAAACTACAACAACCTTGAAATTTTAAACTAACTTTCATTATCCAAAATAACTGTAAAACCATAGGGGGAAAACAGAAAACTAACCTTTTGAAAGCTTTGATTCTTCTACCACTTTGGTTAGATGCCCCTGGACAATCAGCTTCTCTGCCAAAGAAAATAAATGTTACTACCGAAGCTCAAACACAGCCGCGTTCCCTGAGTGGAGCAGTGTAACACATTCCATGACCAAATTTAAAGACGATAGCATTACCCGTTATGACCAAGCTTCAACAAAAAGCTTGAATCCGGAAGAAGAACTAGAGAACTGAACTTACTAAAATGATCACATTAATGCAAAAAACTGGGAGCAGGAAAAGAATATGCCTTCTGTTTTCATTAGATATCATCATACTATAAAGTGTAGACCTTCGTATAAAAGAAACAACAACAACAACAAAAAAACCAATGTGAAATCTTTAAGTCATGGGTATGAAGCTGAAATAAAGGCATTCTGGGAAGGCAGTTTACTTAAAGAAGAGAAACAATGCTATATTGATAGTTTACTCTTTCCTACTGACACACTTGAGAAGAGTCTAAATAACATACATCAAGAAAATGATGACTTTAGAAGAGCTAGCTATTTAAAAGAAATTTTTAAAAAAGCATGTGCTTTAGCATTTGATGTATGTTCCCACATTCTGCACATCACTGAGGCAGATAACGTATCCATTCTGCTATTTCATTCTTTACTCCTGTGTATCAGCTGCTGTCCTTCAGTCAACTCCTTTGTGCTAGACCAATTTCTCTGTTCTTGGACTCTTCAACTAAAATTTAGTCTGCACCCTCCAATCGATCACTGAAGTCACCCCAACACCACTACAGCCTCTTGGTTGCCTGAGCCCACAGCTCCTTCCCATTTCTTTTTTTTTCTTTATTATTATTATTTTATTTATTATTATTATTACAATTTACTCACTTTGTATCCCAGCTGTAGCTCCCTCCCTCATCTCTTCCCGGCTTCCCCCCCCCCCCCCCCTTTCCTCCTATGTCTCTCCCCTATTCCACTGATAGGGGAGTCCCTCCTCCCCTACAATCTGACCCTAGCCTATCACCCATTGTTTATCTGCCTTTCTTTAAAACAAAGAGAGGCTCTTATGAAGGAAGGGTAGTAGAGACTGAAGAAAGTGTCTTGTTCAAAGGCGGCAGCTACTTTACCACTAAGCAATACTCCTTGTCCTCTTTTTAGATTTCATTTTGAGACGTAAGTTGCCTATGTTAGCTTTGAACTTTTAATTCTACCTTTCATGCTCCAAAGTAGTTAAGAATACAGATTAATGCAACAGATCTATTTCACACTTAGACAATTTGAAGAGGTGCTAGTCCTCAAGACATAGCTACCTGTTCTCAACTGTATCCTATACTGTACTCTTGACCCTGAGCTCTAAATCTTGTTTTATTCTCTCATTTTATTATTGTAACATAACTTCTGATAATTTCATGAAACAGAATCGCCAGAAGGTAAATGATTTGTCACTCTTTTCCCCTGAAAATGCTAGTTTTCCACTAATACCGATAGTTGCTTGACTAACTAGGCCCATAATTCTACAAGAAATTTCCCTTCAGAGCTTTAAAAGCAGACTGCTCTGCTCTTTCCTGGCTTCTACATGGATGAGTCCAATGACGATCTGAATCCAGTTCCTCTTGGGTAGTAAGGACTTCTAATGCTTATAATACTGGATCTGCCTGTCCTTCCTGGATACCTGGGGGTGACATCCCCCAATTCTGTGGCCCTGAGAAAGTTCCATAGACTTATGCTAGCCAGGGCCAAAGCATGTAGGAGAGGACGGGAGTTTCCGACTTCTTGCTCACACTGTCCCCACACTACAGGAACTCTAGAAAATCTTCTGAGATGGCCCAGACTATTAAGCTAACCCTGAGCACTGATGTGGCACACAGCACTCTCATCACAACAAACGAGCAGCATAAATGAGAAACGCATAAAACCAGAGCTTGCTCAGCGGCTAAAAGCAAGTGCTCCTGCAGAGGAACTGGCTCCATTCCCACATCAACACGGTGGCATGTCCGCCGGAAACTAGGTCTAGGGGATCTGACACACTCTTCTGGCCTCCGTGGGCACCAGGCATGCACATAGTACAAATGCATACATGTAGGCAAAATAATCATATATAAAAAGTAAAAATAAATAAATGTTAAAAAAAAAAACAAATACAAGAATACAGAGTTTGAAACGTAGAAGGGAGGGAGGGACAAAAAAAATACTTCAGGGTTTATTTACTGCCAATTTTGTTTACTATGAATCTTCTTTGTATTCTTACAGCTCTTGAGTTCTCCTTCCCCATTCTAGCCCTCATGCTGGAGAAAGAACACAGGGTACTATACCACTGGGCCATATACCCAAAGGTATTTTTTATACTCCCCCCACCTTTCTCTAACTAAACTTCACAAACCACCCATTTTAAAGGAGCAATTCAGTAATATTTAGTATATTCGTGATATCTAAAACATTTTTGTCACTCAAAAAGAAGCCATAAATACATTAAGTATTTATTCCCAGCCTCCCTCTCCAGGCCCTGGCAGGTTCTGATCTGTTTTCTCTCACTTGATTTAGTTACCCTGGATGGTTCCTGTAAGTGGAACAATACAGTGTGTGCCTTGGAATCTGGGTTAGCTTGTGGTCTTTAAAACACAATGTGATGAACATTCAGTGTACCTTCTTGGTTTACAATGTAGACTTTCAATATCTTTCACTGGGGAACTGTCTTATATTGTCTTATTGATAAGTATATTCATATTCTCTGTATGTATGATGTCCCCCTCTTTCTGTGTATGTCCGGGGGTGTTATGTGTCCATTTCACTACATCCCATTCTCTTCCCTTCTCATACCTGAACTTATTATCGACATATAACATCTTCAGGATAATTCAATATTTTAAAAAATTTAAATTAGAAGATTAAAAATTTTACTTAAAAATTCCTACCATTTTTATTTTCTAGAATATTTACTTTTTAAAATCCTTGTGCTGATTTAAAAAACGCTAGTATCATAGTCTTAATTATCAAAAACTTTACTTACACTGCACCTTTTAAAAGACATTATCATCTTTTCCTTGTTTTATTTATATATAACTTTCTGAAAAATAATTACATTTTTTAAAAGCTTTCTTCTGCTTTATACACTTTTTTCCTGTTTCTTCCCCGGTCATGATCTCCTGTTTCTCCTATATTCAAACCTGGGCAAAGTTCTAGAAGCGTACAGGACACAGGGTGGTTCAGAAAACATGTGCATATCAGTGCCTGTATGGACCAGGCTAAAGGAAATAAAGCACAGACTATTCTTTAGGCAAATCCAAATCCTTGCTTAAAGTACCGCATGGACTACTCCCTTCCAGAGTCCCTACTGCTTTTGGTATCTGAGCTGTAGATTTAAATAAAACTTGTCCTTTTTTTTTTTTTTCTGCTCCCTGCAAAATAGAAAACAGAATAGATGCCAAATCTCTGACACCTGTTTTATTTGTGTGTATTCCGAAATATTGTTGACACCTATTGTTGACTTACTGTAGTGTTTTCTCCCATTGTCCTCATGACCTTATATTTAATACATTATTTTTGTTATAAATGGATTCACCCACTGTATTTAATCAAAAGCTTACAAATGCCTTTTAAAAACTACTTCTTTTACTTCTGGAACTGCCCATTCACTCCCTATGTCTTCACGCTCCTTTCTTAGCCTTTCATTGCCTTTTTCTCCATCTGGCTATAATTTAAATAAGTGTATTTGGTCTTCAAGATTTTAATGGCAATAAAATTCATCTTTTCACAGTTTCAATTACCTGTAACTGAACTATTTCTAAACGCTGATGGCAAGTCACAATTTCTCTCGGTTTCCAGAATGCCGTTCCCTAACTACTTTCTAGATATCTTTATCCAGAATTCCGCAGGGACTTAATTTCATCATGGCTAACGCTGAATTTCTATTTTCTTCCTTTCTCTTAAGTGATACTATTGGTGCCCTCCTCTTTGTTCCACTATTCTTTATTCAAGTCTCTGACAGGATATTGCAGCTGCCCATTATCTCTACCTTCATCAATTTACTATAAACTGCTTGTGGGAATGTAAGGATTTCTTCAAATATTACTATGCATTAGGGTAACAATGCTGTGAGACATCAAGGAACTTGGTTTAATCAAAGTGGGGCGGTATCCTAACAAATCTGACAGCAGGTTTCTTATCTGCCTAACTATATCAATATAACTCTTCTGGCCTTTTCTCAACTACGCTGACTGTTTTAAAGATCAAAACCACAGTGGGGTGGTGGTGGCACACACCTTTAATGCCAGCACTGGGGAAGGCAAAGGCAGGCAGACCTCTATGATTTTGAGACCAGCCTGATCTACAGTGCAAGTTCCAAGATATAAAGGGCTACACAGAAAAAACTCTGTCCTGAAAACCCAAAAGAATATATACTAAAAGACTAAAATGTATTGCTCAGAACTCTCTCTTCATTTTGAGAAAGTAAAAAACAAAACAAACAAAGCAAAACACAAAATCTCCAACAACACAAAAACTTTTCTGCAATGCATATAATCCAAAGAGACACAAACAGATCTCTGCTTCTGGCCCTATCTACCTCCTCCTCCCCTTGCCAGAGATCTGAAGGAAGAACTTCCTGTAACATAAACTCATATCTTGAAAGAGCTCTCTGTCTTGCCACAAGTGAAAGAGATAAAATAGAGGGCTTTCTTCTTAAAAATGGAAAAAACCACTTGTCTGTTTGTTACTCTTTAGTGTTACTCTAGAGGGTTAGCGCCCACCCTGCCCCTCTTTTATCTGAGGCAGGGTCTCAGCATGCAGTCCATGTTATGGAGCACCACCAGCAACCCTCCTAGCTCAGCCTCCTCAGCGCTAGGATTATGGGCACCGCATCTGCAGAGTTCCATGTTCAAGCCATGTGGATTTATTTTGAAAAACAGCACACACCCAAGAATACTTTTTTAAAAGAGTTATCTCTCCCGCCTGCGAGAATACTTTTTAAAGGTACAGGTTTTTATAAAGTGAGGTTCTCTGCGACTATTGCCCAGTCAAAGAAATAGAGCCTTCCTGCCAGCCTCCACAGTCTCTCCTGCACAAAGGCAAGAGCAACCTG